AAGGTCAATAACCTGGCATTTCAGAGCTCCTCAAGTTCACACAGGTTTCACATTAACTGTTGAATATTGCATATTTGACAACCAGAAAGTTTACAAACATTACATTGAATAAATTTTTTTTATAACCTAACAAACTTATTTTTGTCAAATATCTTGCTTGGTTGCTACTTGGTTTCTCACAGAGCCAGCATTAATTATATTAAACAATGGCACAAAACGTTTAGTATAAACTTGATAGACTAGTTTTTATTTTACAATGTCAGCTCACCTTGAGAGACAGGTCTACTCTCTTTTCACCGATTGTAGAGACCAGGCAACTGTGGGCTTCCTCGGACAAACTTGTGAAAATGGACCGCGCATTTTGGAGGAGTGGACTAGACTGCTCGTCCCATTCGAAAGAGTGACACAACGGTATCAACTGATATGAAACTGAAAGTATAAGTGTGGTAAAATATAAACACCGACCCATTTTAAAAAGTGCCTTTAACTACGCTTATAACACGCCGAAGAACCACCCAAGAGTGTTTAAATTCGTATTCGTGACAAAAATGTTCTTCGCAAACAACGGGTTACAACAACTAGGAAACTGGACGGCCAGTCCTGAGTGAGTTCCAACATGGAAAGAGTCAAAACGCTGAATTCAGGCGTCTCCGCTTGGGGATTATTAAATGAAGTTTAAGGTGGGCATTTTATGTCAGAAATGGTCTTACAAAGGATGCCAGCTCTATCCTTCACTAATAAACCGAGGTTTACGAAACTAATCCATTTCTTTTCCCGGAACAATGCCTGCTTCCTCTTTCCTCCCTGGAAGGAGCAACCCTGCCGCCTACTGATGACTGGAGACTGCGCGGTTACATTATCCAGAAGAAACGCCACACAAATTGATCCCATATGAAAATTGTGAAAGACCATTTTGTAAACGTTTGAAAAAAAATTGTTTTTAAACAAAGCAGATACTATTGTGTCAACAGCATGACATACATTTAGTAGTATAAATTTATTAATATAATTATTACTTTAATATTATTTATTAGTAGTGTATTCATTTTCCTCATACAAATACAGAACAATAGCAGAGTGAGAAAGAAAGTCACAAATACAGAATAATTAATAAGTATACTGACAAAAAGACAGGCCTCATGCTGGTTCCCTCAACAATGGGATTTTGCTTTTGGATTATTGCAGAAAATAAGCAATGGGAGCAAAAAAAGTTTATGATTCTGACAACTCTTTTGGTCTTTATTTAAAAAAAAAAAACATTTTCCCTGAAAGTTTGAGTCAGAATAGTTTGCAAGAGTGTAATGAGGCTGTAAAAGTTAACTAGTGCGTGGATGAGTTTACCTGTTTAGCGTGATAATGTTTAATGGCCCCAACAACCTCTGCAGTAGGTACCATTTAGTCCACTTGTTAGCAAGCACTTTTTTCTAGTAAAAGCTTTTAAAAAATAAAAAAAACACACACAAGAGGGTATTACTGATGTATTTTATGTTGTAAAATACAATGTGAAAAGATTTTTTAAGAGTTTTTCTTAAGATCTGCAGGCATTTAACAAAAAAAGAAAAAAAAGAAAAGAAAAAAAAGAAGAACCAGTTGACTACAGGAGCAGCCAAGTGGGACCCGTGACACCTGGACTTCTTTGCCAAGTAGCCACTTAAGTTTCAGCACTTTGCCCAGTCTATGCAGGAACTCTTTGTATCGGACCACCACTGTGTTAATGATGATGGGCTTGAAGCTGTCATTCACCACAGCTGGTCTCTGCATCACAGAAACTATGAGAGGGACATAAAGAAAGGTGATTTGTTAGTTTTAAAATGAAAAGTTCTAGAAATGTTGTGATGCACACAGGAACCAAATTCAATATATACGCTGTACAAAGATTTATTGTATGGTCTTTGTAGAAAAACAAGCAAGAGGCTAGATATGCTGTGTCAAGGTCAAATAAACCCCATATTTTTACTTTTGAAAAAACACGCTTTGTTCAGATCAAACTGAGTATTCCTAAGAAAAACTAATCTTTTTAGTGATTTCGCTTTTTATCAGTGTTTTTTCCCTCTTCATCACATCCCTGATTTTTCTGCACTAATAAGAGCCTATGACCAAAACAAGCACACGTAAATGGGCTCCACAAGTCGATTCATTACACTATTATAAGATCTGATTGACAAAAAAATCATGTGATGGCATTATTTATGATTCTCACCTAACAGCACAACAACGCAAAAGGACGTTGTTTTATTTTTTCCCTCAGCTTTATAACAAAGCATAATCACTTGACCTGCGACTAGAAACAAACCTTAAATCTAGTAGAAACTGGAATAAATCGCTTCTGAATCTGCTGTAGGGAGGACTGTCTTAATAGCAAACAACACGCGGATCCTTTGACGGCGCAGCTCATGAATATTTAATACATGAAGTTAGTTTGTTTGTTGCTTGGTGTTCTGAGCATCCCATTTATTTATTTTTTTATATTTTTGCTTTGACTACCCAGGTGAAAAAGACGTAGTATTAAATGTATTAAAAATATACTTGAAATTCAAGTAGTATGTTTATAATACATTTGTATTCCCAACATGCTTATTTGAAGTGCAATAAAAATATATTGAATTGAATTTTAATATATTTCTAAAAAGTATACTAGAAGTACTTTTGTATTAAATATATGCTTAGTTATACTTCTAAGAAATATGCTAAACAGAAGCATACTTTTAATGTATTTATAAAAAGTATACTAGAAATACTTTGGTAATAAATATATGCTTAGTTACACTTTTAAGGAATATGCTAAACACAAGCACACTATTAGTATATTTCTAAAAAGTATAGTAGAAATACTATGGTAATAAATATATTTTTAGTTACACTTTTAAGGGATATACTAAACACAAGCATACATTTTAGTGACTTTTTAGTGTATTTACAGAAAACATACTTATGTTACCCTTACTTAAAGTATATTTTATGTCTACTTTGTGTAAGAACATAACAAAATGATTACACTTTTAGTGGGTTTTTAATGTACTTTATATTGCAGTAGGCCTACACATGGTTATATTTTAAATATTTATGTATTTATAATTTTAATATTTGGAAAAGTACAATATTTTGAAAAACATTTTTAACATTTACAATGTACAAACGTTTGTCAACTATTATTAAGCATTGCGATATTTAAAATATGTTGTTTAATATGTTGTTCAGTTTTACTTAAAAGGTTATGCTACTTTGGTTGATTAGGCTGTTGTTCATTACATGATACATTAATTGTAATAAGCTAGGTGTTTATAAATTTGTTCAAGCCTGACGCCTTTATTTTCTAATATATATTTCTGAAATTCCCACAAGGATTTCAACATCATATACGAAAAAAAAAAAACTTGCATGTACTTGTTTAAATTCAAACAACACACTGACTAAACCTGATTGGTTCCAGAGCCATTGAACGGCTCTGATTGGTTCGTATGATAATGAGCTCACCCCAGAGAGCTTCGTATATATGTCTGAAAAAGCACAATTTAAATATATTTATTTTTCACCTGGGTACTATTTCGTGGGCTAAGCTCTTTTACAGTAGACTTTGGTATTTCGCCATCATAAAAATCATTCCATAAACGGAGAGTATCACATAACGCTATTAATATTTATGAGATAAACATTTTCATCGTAAAATGTATAATTTTTAAATAAAGTAAACCGCTAGCTTGTGTCATGTGACAAACGATTTGCCCGGAAGCTGTCTTTTTTCTTCTGGCAACAAACGAAGTAGAGCTAAAAAGATGGGAACATCATAATGTGGTGCTGTTTCAACAAGTTGTAAAAAAAACAAAAAAACACAAACACCAAAAAGCCATCTTTAATTGTAACTTTAATAAAACACAATCTTTATATGTTTATTTTGATTTGTTTATATAAAACAATACAATTCACTTTAGATTTGAGCAAAAATACAACAACACTTAAATGCATATGTACAAGAAAAACCACATGTATAGGCTATATGAAGTGGATAGTTTAAGGACCTCTAATTTAAATCCAGAAATGTCATACATGGGATTAAGCAGGATGTCATTCAGTCACGGTCTGAGAGAGAAAGAGAGAAATCCACATGGTTCATTAGAAGCATACCTTGAATTTAATAATGAATGAAGGAATTATGAATTAGGCCATTCAAAATCAATAACACACACACACACACACACACACACACAAAAACATATATAATAAAATATATACCTATATAATAAAATATTTTTCTAATGAAATATTTACCGCATAGCCTGTAAAGTTCCTCCTCTGATTATACAGTATAGCTGTAAAAGCAGAGGAAATTGCTGTCTGGACCACACTGACCATGGAGATGGTTGCCTTCAATCCTGTGCTGAAATGCTGATTTAAAGAAAGAGTCCTTACTAAAATATGCAACTGTTTAATATGATAGAACTCTCATATATGAGGGTATGAGATACATACAGTGGCATAATACTGGTGGTCACACATCTGGCGTGATCCCATATGGCATTTGGTTGGCGGATTGAAAGCAATGTCAGCATAGTACATGATAAGTGCAATAACTGAGATGATAATGGTCACAGCAGAGACTGCCAAACAAACAGAGACCTAAAGACAAGTGCAAATTCCATTATTTTTTGTCTTTTTAATTATTAATTTAGATTTTCTGTTATACAGAATGTGCCTGCTGATGTGGAGCCTTTACAGGAACGGCATATACCAATCTCTAAAATGTGCTCTAACAGTAAGTTCAAACTCACTGCTTTCAAGGTGGCATATTTTTCCACTGCTATTCCAGCTGAGCCTGAAATGACAAACTGTTTGGAAAAAAGGAAACAAAAAATGAAGTTCAGTGATAGGTCCATCGTTGGCAGATACACAATTTACTGTACATTCCTTTAAATACTTTGCTATCACCTTAAACTGTTATATAACCACCATGTCCTAATGTATTAGTGTAATATTACCGTAAGGCCACTCCACCATGGCACACCAAAGTTAAGTATCATTGTGATCTCAGTGGACAGCAGAGGTATAGAATAGGAGATGATCAGCAATCCTATTACTATCTGAGCGACCTATGAGAGACAGAAAAAAAAGGCAATCAATCAGCCTTTTTTCAATCAATTTCAATCAGTTTTAGCTGAGGTGTGATGTTAAAATGTTTCAGAAAGTATCTTAAACAAAAATGATTTTTCTTCTATAATGATCTTTCTTCACCTTCAATACTATGACTGAGGTGAGACCGTTGAGCAAGGCACCAAACCCCCAACTGCTGCAAAGAGACCAAACACGCCGCAGCAAAAATGGCTGCCCACTGATCCGGATGCGTGTTCACGGTGTGTGTGTGTGTTTGTGTGTTCGCTACTCACTGCTGTGTGTGTGCACTTGGATGGGTTAAATGCAGAGCACAAATTCCAAGTATGGGACACCATACTTGGCTACGCTACACGTCACGTCACTTTCACTTTTTCACTTTCATTAAGTGTTTAGCACTTCTTTCACATTTACACAATATGAGTAGTAGTGCTAAATTGTAAATATAGTCAAGACTATACTAAAAATATTAAAGGGGTCATATGATGTTGCTAAAAAGAACATTATTTTGTGTACAGTATTTGGTGTAATGAAATGTGTTTATGCGGTTTAAGGTTAAAAAAACACATTATTTTCCACATACTGTACATTATTGTTTCTCCTCTATGCCCCGCCTTTGTCAATTTTTACAAAGCTCATCGTTCTGAAAAGCGAGGTGTGCTCTGATTGGCCAGCTATCCAGTGCGTTGTGATTGGCCGAATACATCAAGCGCGTGACGAAAATGTTACGCCCCTTGCCATATTGTGATGATGCCCTGTCAGGCCGGAGCGATGATTCAAAAACATGAAAACCCATTATAAACGAGGCATTTGTAGCATCCAGTGGGGACATAATTACTGATGATAATGACTTATACTGTCATTTTACGCGTTGCGGTGTGTATCGCGCCGTGTAAACATAAAACCCATGTCTGCATTTGTGATATATTTGTAATGTACACAATAATACATTAAAGTTTTCTAGATATCAAAGTGTGTACGTGTGTGTATATACTGATAAAAGCAGCTTTATAATATACTAGTAGTGTAATGCTAATGCATTTCCAATGAGCTGAAATACAATTGAAATGTACTTGAAGTACATTAAAACGATGCTTCAAATATACTCTTAACTGTAGTTCATGAAGTGTTAAAAGGACATTTTAAATGTATTTTAAGAAATACACTTAAATTGCACTAAATATACTTAAAGTGGTTCCAATTTAACACAATTTCAATATATTAAATATACTACAAATAGATTAAAATCCAACTTAAACATATCTTGAAATACACTTAATATACTTAAAGTTGTTTCAAAATAATAAATTTAATATGCACTTAGTATAGTATAATTTAAATATAGTAAGTATGTCTGAAAAAGCACAATTTAAATATATTTATTTTTCACCTGGGTACTATTTCGTGGGCTAAGCTCTTTTACAGTAGACTTTGGTATTTCGCCATCATAAAAATCATTCCATAAACGGAGAGTATCACATAACGCTATTAATATTTATGAGATAAACATTTTCATCGTAAAATGTATAATTTTTAAATAAAGTAAACCGCTAGCTTGTGTCATGTGACAAACGATTTGCCCGGAAGCTGTCTTTTTTCTTCTGGCAACAAACGAAGTAGAGCTAAAAAGATGGGAACATCATAATGTGGTGCTGTTTCAACAAGTTGTAAAAAAAACAAAAAAACACAAACACCAAAAAGCCATCTTTAATTGTAACTTTAATAAAACACAATCTTTATATGTTTATTTTGATTTGTTTATATAAAACAATACAATTCACTTTAGATTTGAGCAAAAATACAACAACACTTAAATGCATATGTACAAGAAAAACCACATGTATAGGCTATATGAAGTGGATAGTTTAAGGACCTCTAATTTAAATCCAGAAATGTCATACATGGGATTAAGCAGGATGTCATTCAGTCACGGTCTGAGAGAGAAAGAGAGAAATCCACATGGTTCATTAGAAGCATACCTTGAATTTAATAATGAATGAAGGAATTATGAATTAGGCCATTCAAAATCAATAACACACACACACACACACACACACACACAAAAACATATATAATAAAATATATACCTATATAATAAAATATTTTTCTAATGAAATATTTACCGCATAGCCTGTAAAGTTCCTCCTCTGATTATACAGTATAGCTGTAAAAGCAGAGGAAATTGCTGTCTGGACCACACTGACCATGGAGATGGTTGCCTTCAATCCTGTGCTGAAATGCTGATTTAAAGAAAGAGTCCTTACTAAAATATGCAACTGTTTAATATGATAGAACTCTCATATATGAGGGTATGAGATACATACAGTGGCATAATACTGGTGGTCACACATCTGGCGTGATCCCATATGGCATTTGGTTGGCGGATTGAAAGCAATGTCAGCATAGTACATGATAAGTGCAATAACTGAGATGATAATGGTCACAGCAGAGACTGCCAAACAAACAGAGACCTAAAGACAAGTGCAAATTCCATTATTTTTTGTCTTTTTAATTATTAATTTAGATTTTCTGTTATACAGAATGTGCCTGCTGATGTGGAGCCTTTACAGGAACGGCATATACCAATCTCTAAAATGTGCTCTAACAGTAAGTTCAAACTCACTGCTTTCAAGGTGGCATATTTTTCCACTGCTATTCCAGCTGAGCCTGAAATGACAAACTGTTTGGAAAAAAGGAAACAAAAAATGAAGTTCAGTGATAGGTCCATCGTTGGCAGATACACAATTTACTGTACATTCCTTTAAATACTTTGCTATCACCTTAAACTGTTATATAACCACCATGTCCTAATGTATTAGTGTAATATTACCGTAAGGCCACTCCACCATGGCACACCAAAGTTAAGTATCATTGTGATCTCAGTGGACAGCAGAGGTATAGAATAGGAGATGATCAGCAATCCTATTACTATCTGAGCGACCTATGAGAGACAGAAAAAAAAGGCAATCAATCAGCCTTTTTTCAATCAATTTCAATCAGTTTTAGCTGAGGTGTGATGTTAAAATGTTTCAGAAAGTATCTTAAACAAAAATGATCTTTCTTCTATAATGATCTTTCTTCACCTTCAATACCATGACTGAGGTGAGACCGTTGAGCAAGGCACCAAACCCCCAACTGCTGCAAAGAGACCAAACACGCCGCAGCAAAAATGGCTGCCCACTGATCCGGATGCGTGTTCACGGTGTGTGTGTGTGTTTGTGTGTTCGCTACTCACTGCTGTGTGTGTGCACTTGGATGGGTTAAATGCAGAGCACAAATTCCAAGTATGGGACACCATACTTGGCTACGCTACACGTCACGTCACTTTCACTTTTTCACTTTCATTAAGTGTTTAGCACTTCTTTCACATTTACACAATATGAGTAGTAGTGCTAAATTGTAAATATAGTCAAGACTATACTAAAAATATTAAAGGGGTCATATGATGTTGCTAAAAAGAACATTATTTTGTGTACAGTATTTGGTGTAATGAAATGTGTTTATGCGGTTTAAGGTTAAAAAAACACATTATTTTCCACATACTGTACATTATTGTTTCTCCTCTATGCCCCGCCTTTGTCAATTTTTACAAAGCTCATCGTTCTGAAAAGCGAGGTGTGCTCTGATTGGCCAGCTATCCAGTGCGTTATGATTGGCCGAATACATCAAGCGCGTGACGAAAATGTTACGCCCCTTGCCATATTGTGATGATGCCCTGTCAGGCCGGAGCGATGATTCAAAAACATGAAAACCCATTATAAACGAGGCATTCGTTGCATCCAGTGGGGACATAATTACGAATTATAATGACTTATACTGTCTTTTTACGCATTGCGTTGCATCGCGCAGCATAAACATAAAACC